AGAGAGAGAGAGAGAGAGAGAGAGAGAGAAAGAAAGGAGAGAGAGAGAGGCAGACATGGACAAAGACAGAGACAGAGAGGGAGACAGACCTTTTTTTTCCAAGATAGTTTCATTGTTACTAAGTTATTTAAACTTTCTCTTTGTAAACCAAATTTCCCCCTATTTTTCTATTTAACTTTCGATTTCTTTCTCAAATTTGGCTATTGAACATCCTTTTGCTTTCAAATATAACTGTCAGTGGTGGGAAGTTGTAGTGGGAAATCCTTCCTGACAATCGAATCTCTAGTTCTTAAAGTTACTATTGCTAAGTTGTTAAAGGAGCATTATGGAGTTGTGAAGGTGCCTGAAATATTGTGTAGGTGCATTTCATCAGTTTCTCTATAGGAAATATAGTTTCCCTTTTAGGTAGAAGATATTTTAATAAAAGTCATTATCAAAACTATTTATAAATCTTTTGGTCATTACAGATTTCCTGTGGCAGCATGATCTTACAGCATAATTAAGATTACTATAGGCCTTCACATTTAAAATTTTAGTGCTCATACATCCTATAAAATATTGATAACCATAAATTTTAGATAAATACTATTTTCTTGGCTCACAATGTTCTTTCTATCTTGAATGATATTCTGCCACTTCTTTCTTTGCATTTTTTTTTACATATTTCTCACTTGTCAGTTTCAATGAGACTTCCTCAGAGGACACCTTCTGACCCTTCAGACTTTTCCACGTTCCTTTAGTATACAATCTTAGTTACCTGTTTTTCTCACTCCTAGCACTATAATAAAACTGTTAACTGTAATCATTCAGTGTTTCTTTTGTACACAGTCATAGTACTATGCAACATCCATATAGTTTTCTGGGAAAAATATAAAATTCAAAGTAATAAAGAAAGATTAAATAGTGTTTGTTAAATCATATTTATGCAACAGGATATTAAAATAGGACACTTGTAGTTTCTTTTTCAGCTGAAAAGTAAAGTTTTGGAATTTTACACAGGCACACCTGCATTTAGACTTTGCAACAGAGATGCATTTATTGCACTAGACTCCAGTTTGTTCTTTAATCCAGTCACGGTATGCTGTCACTTGAGTGTAAACTCCTGGTTTGTCTGGCAGACCACATTGATATCCCCAGCTCACTATCCCCACAAGGAACCAAAGCCGCCGTGAGTCTTCTTGTACCAGTGGGCCACCAGAATCCCCCTGTTGGAAACAAAATGATTAATTACTTAAGTAAGAAAAACCCTAAAACTTGAGTTTATTTCTATGGCAGTAGAGGAAGTAATATCTCTTATATAAATAAAGTCTATTTACTTTTGAAATGTTCCAAGTCATACAAAAAATTACTGAAATCCTTTAAGTATATAAATTATACCTTTAACAAGTCTGAAAAGAACATGATAAGCACATTTTCCAGACCTCCCTCAGGTAGTGCTTGGTTGTTTCCTACTCACATCAGGCTAACATCCTCCAGTAATACTACTCTGACTTGCTCCTTTCCTCCTGACTCTCCCCACTTTCAGCTTTGAGCATAATTAGTTTCTCACTGTGTGTATATCTTGTCACTGTTTCTGCGTTATTTAAAAAAGCTCATTTGTGTGCCTGTTTGAATTTATTCCCACTGGTCAGCTCCCCTGTAGTAGTTGTACCTCTCTGTAACACTCATTGCATTTATGATACTTAGCAGTGTCTATTTTCCCAGCTCTAATGTGTTTTCCACACATTAGAGAGCAAACCTATTCTGGACACTGAGGCAACCTAAGGTTACAGCCCATAAAATTCTAAGGCAATATTTGCTAAATTAAAGAGTTTGTAGAAGTCTCATTCATTTAACTATCCATAGCACTCTGTATTATGTGATGCATAGTATATTATTGTATTCTTTTGGTGAATAATTGAAAAGAAATTTGAATGGCAATAGATAAACACTCCTTAAGAGATATTTACTAGTCAATTATAATAACATCAACTAGCAAATATTTATGCAATAATCTGGTTTGGGAGAAAAATTTATCACATCTTACATGTAGGATTAATTCTGTAGGCTCTGGAGCTAGGTAACCTGTGTTTGAATTGTCTACTTACCAGCTATGTGAACTTTAGTAATTATTTAACAACACTCTGTACATCAATTTTCTTATCAGTAAATAATTTTGCATTTAAAACATAAAGCACTTCAAGTATAGCCTGACATGTAGTCAGTACTAATAAAAATCAGTCATAATTACCAAGTATGCATCTAAAAAAATTAGCTATTTATTTGACTGCTCTGAGTAGTGGCTCTTCCATACCTGTTGAATTACTGGTCTGGATAGGTAGAAGGTTCAGTGTATGAATCACCAACTTGTGTGGCAAATACTGCATGGTTCTGGTTAGTACCTCCCTCTTTTGGATGATGTATGCATGCTCTGGTTAACCAATTCCCAGTATTTCCTTTAATGCATTTTTGCAGCTATCTGTCCTTCCTTCCTACCATTCTTTCTATTAGTTCATATTACACAAAATAGAGGTTTTCATTTTTGCATATTCATATAAAATGATAAAGTTTTCTGTATATTGCCTTATCAAGAGTGGACAAGCACACTATTTGCGGATGACATGATCCTATACCTAGGAGACCCAAAAGGTTCTACCAAGAAACTTCTAGAGCTAGTAAATGAATTCAGCAAAGTGGCAGGATATAAAATCAACACGCATAAATCAAAGGCATTCCTGTATATCAGTGACAAATCCTCTGAAATGGTAATGAGAACAACCACCCCATTTACAATATCCTCAAAAAAAAATATTTGGGAATCAACCTAACAAAAGAGGTGAAAGAACTATACAACGAAAATTACAGAACCCTAAAGAGAGAAATAGAAGAAGACCTTAGAAGGTGGAAAGATATACCTTATTCATGGATAGGCAGAACTAATATCATTAAAATGGCCATATTACCAAAAGTACTCTATAGGTTCAATGCAATGACAATCAAAATCCCAATGGCATTCCTCGCAGAAATAGAAAAAGCAATCATGAAATTCATCTGGAAAAAATAAATACCCAGAATAGCAAAAGCAATTCTAAACAGGAAGAGTGAAACTGGCAGTATAGCGATCCCAGATTTTAAACTATACTACAGAGCAATAGTAACAAAAACAGCATGGTACTGGTACCAAAACAGGCAGGTAGACCAATGGTACAGAATAGAGGACACAGAGGACACAGATACCAATCCACAAAATTACAACTACCTTATATTAGACAAAGGTGCCAAAATCATACAATGGAGAAAGGATAGCATCTTCCACAAATGATGCTGGGAGAACTTGAAATCCATATGCAATAAAATGAAATTGAATCCCTTTCTCTCACCATGCACAAAAGTTAACTCAAAATGGATCAAGGAGCTAGGAATCAAATCATAAACTTTGCATCTAATAGAAGAAAAAGTTGGCCCTAATCTCCACCCTTCAGCGTCAGGCTCCAAATTCCTTAATAGGACACCTATAGCACAAGAGTTAAAATCAAGAATCAACAAATGGGACATACTCAAAACTAAAAAGTTTTTTCTCAGCAAGAGAAACAATAAGAGAGGTAAATAGGGAGCCTACATCATGGGAACAAATGTTTACCCCTCACACTTCAGATAGAGCTCTAATCTCCAGAGTATACAAAGAACTAAAAAAATTAAACAACAAGAAAACAAATAACCCAATCAACAAATGGGCCAAGGATCTGAACAGACACTTCTCAGAGGAGGACATACAATCAATCAACAAATACATGAAAAATGCTCACCACCTCTAGCAGTCAGAGAAGTACAAATCAAAACCACTCTAAGATACTATCTCATTCCAGTAAGAATGGCAGCCATTATGAAGTCAAACAACAAGTGCTGGCAAGGATGTTTGGAAAAGGGTACACTTGTACATTGCTGGTGGGACTGCAAATTGGTTTAGCCAATTTGGAAAGCAGTATGGAGATTCCTTGGAAAGCTGGGAATAGAACCATCATTTGACCCAGCTATTCCCCTTCTCAGACTATACCCAAAAGACCTAAAAAGAGCATACAACAGGGACACAGCTACATCAATGTTCATAGAAGCACAATTCACAATAGCTAGACTGTGGAACCAACACAGATGCCCTTTAATAGATGAATGGATAAAAAAAAATGTGGCATTTATACACAATAGAATATTACTCAGCACTAAAAAATAACAAAATCATGGCATTTGCAGGGAAATGGATAGCATTAGAGCAGATTATGCTAAGTGAAGCTAGCCAATCCCTAAAAAACAAATGCAGAATGTCTTCTTTGATATAAGGGGGGCAACTCAAAACAGAGCAGGGAGGAAGAGCATGAGAAGAAGATTACCATTAAATAGGGATGAGAGGTGCGTGGGAATGGGAGAGAGAAAGGGAATTGCATGGAAGATGGTAGGAGACTCTCATGGTTATGCAAAATTACATATAAGATGGTGTGAGGGGGAAGATAAAAGAGAGAGAAACGTGTCACAGTAGATTGGGTAGAAAGAGGTGATGGGAGGGGAGGGGAGGGGACAGGGGATAAGAAGGGCAGCACAATACAATAGACACTAGTATGGCCCTATGTATAAACATGGCTGTATAATCAATGTGATCCTGCAATCTGTACATGTGGAAAATAAGATTATGTACCCCATTTGAATCAAATGTATGATATGTCAAGATCATTGTAATGTTTTGAGCAACTAATAATAACTCTTTTTTTAAGAGTGGACAAGCAGGGGCTGGAGTTGTGGCTCAGCAGTAGAGCGCTCGCCTAGTACATGTGAGGCCCTGGGTTCCATCCTCAGCACCACATAAAAATAAATAAATAAAATAAAGGTATTGGCAACTACAACTAAAAAAATAAATAAATATATTTAAAAAATAGTGGACAAGCAAATGCCAAACTAAAAGGGACATGTAATTCTTCTTATAGGTAGCCAGCTTCACTGTTCATAGATATTTTAACTTGTGTCTTTTCTTCTAGACTGAGTGCAGGGAAGCATTACTAGCACAGTGAATGGTGCATGGAAAGTAATACATTCAGTGTCTTTGAATTAAAGATTGTATGAATTAATTAAATAATGAAAGAAACAAACAGGATCTCATAAACTCCTATGTAAAGTGCTATGATTTTTTTGAGGCAGACTCTATGCATTATAGTATTTCAGCTGAAAATTAGTGAGGCCTGGAGTATAACACATGGGGAAATTTTCATAACAAGTTATAACTTGAACTGGGCTCAAAGAAAGAGCAGAATTTATGTACACAGAATAAAAGTGGCAGCAACTGAAACAAGCCTGGGATGCCCTCTTTTACCACTTCTATTTAACATAGTCCTTGAAACACTGGCCAGAGTAATTAGACAGACCAAAGAAATTAAAGGGATACATATAGGAAAAGAAGAACTTAAAATAGCAAAACCTATTTGCTGATGATATGATTCTATACCTAGAAGACCTAAAAAGCTCCACCAGAAAACTTCTAGAACTAGTAAATGAATTCAGCAAAGTAGCAGGTTATAAAATCAACACCCATAAATCAAAGGCATTTCTGTATGTGAGTGACAAATCCTCTGAGAGGGAAATGAGGAAAACTATCCCATTTACAATAGCTTCAAAAAATAAAATAAAATACTTGGGAATCAACTTAACAAAAGAGGTTAAAGATCTAAACAATGAAAACTACAGAACCCTAAAGAAAGAAATCAAAGAAGACCTTAGAAGATGGAAAGATCTACCTTGCTCTTGGATAGGCAGAATTAATATTATCAAAATGACCATACTTCCAAAAGCACTATACAGATTTAATGCAATTCCAAACAAAATCCCAATGGCATTCCTCATAGAAATAGAAAAAGTAATCATGAAATTCATCTGAAAAAATAAAAGACTTAGAATAGCTAAAGCAATCCTTAGCAGGAAGAGTGAATCAGATGACATCACTATACCAGACCTTAAACTATACTTCAGAGGAATAGTAACAAAAAACATGATATTGGCACCAAAACAGACTGATAGACCAATGGTACAGAATAGAGGACACAGAGACTAACCCACAAAATTACAATTATCTTATATTAGAAAAAGGTGCCAAAAACATGCACTGGAGAAAAGATAGCATCTTCAACAAATGGTACTGGGAAAACTGGAAATCCATATACAACAAAATGAAATTAAACCCCTATCTCTCACCATGCACAAAACACAACTCAAAGTGGATCAAAGACCTAGGAACTCAACTAGAGATTCTCCTTCTAATAGAAGAAAAAGTAGGCCCTAATCTTCATCATGTGGAATTAGGCCCCAACTTCCTTAATAAAACTCCTGTGGTGCAAGAAAAACCAAGAATCAATAAAAGGGAGGGACTAAAATTAAAATGTTTCTTCTCAGCAAAAGAAATAATCTGTGAGGTGAATAGAGAGACTACATCTTGGGAGCAAATTTTAACCCCTCACACATCAGATAGAGCACTAATCTCTAGGGTATATAAAGAACTCAAAAAGCTAAACACCACCCCCTCCCCAAATAACCCAATGAATAAATGGGCCAAGGGCATGAACAGACACTTCTTAGAAGAGGATATTTAATCAATGAACAAATATATGAAAAAATGTTCATCATCTCTAGTAATTAGAGAAATGCAAATCAAAACCACTCTAAGATATCATCTCACTCCAGTTAGAATGGCAGCCATTTTGAAGACAAACAACAATAAGTGTTGGTGGGATGTTGGGGGAAAAGGCACACTCATACATTGCTGGTGGGACTGCAAATTGGTGCAGCCAATATGGAAAGTAGTATGGAGATTCCTTGGAAAACTTAGAATGGAACCACCATTTGACCCAGCTATCCCTCTCCTTTGTCTATACCCCAAAGACTTAAAATCAGCATACTACAGGGACACAGCCACATCAATGTTTATAGCAGCACAATTCACAATAGCTAACTGTGGAACCAACCTAGGTGCCCTTCAGTAGATGAAAGGATAAAAAAAAAATGTGGCATATATACACAAGGGAATTTTACTCAGCAATAAAAGAGAATAAAATCATGGCATTTGCAAGTAAATGGATGCAGTTGCAGAAGATAATGCTAAGTAAAGTTACCCAATCCCCAAAAAACAAATGGCGAATGTTTTCTCTGATATAAGGTGACTGATCATAGTGGGGTAGGGAGAGAGGGAGCATGGGAGGAATAGACGAACTCTAGATAGGGTAGAGGGGTGTGAGGGTAAGGGAGGGGGCAGGGGGTTAGCAATGATGGTGGAATATGATAGACATCATTATCCAAAGTACATGTATAAGGACATGAATTGGTGTGAACATACTTTATATACAGAGATATGAAAAATTGTGATCTATATGTGTAATAGAATTGTGATGCATTCTACTGTCATGTATTTAAAAAATAAAAGCAATTAAAAAAGGTGGGGGGGCACTAAGACTAAATGAAGCCTGAGTAATACTCTTTTCAATCTCACATATGTCCCTAAGTGAGTTTGAAACAATGCTCTGGGATTGTCAGTGGGGAGGTGTGTTATTTGGAAAACTATCATGAAACTTGAGAAATTTTTGTTATAGGGCTAGCAGTAAAGAGAAAGAGGAAGTTGATCAAGAAATGTTCCCTACAACAGAGACATCTCCACTTAAAGGTAATAAAGGACTATGTGGGTAATTAGTGACATCTTGAAAACTGAGAAATCTTGTCCATCTGTACACAACTTGTAGTTGATCAAAACGTTTCATTTTGAGAAAAGTACTTATGGATTGGGGTCTTTGCATAAACTTAAGTACTATTTCTTATTTACTTTTTTAAGACTGTGAATGCTAGAAAGTGATAAATATGAAACATTTTATGTAAAGGTTAAAACTTATCTTTGTCTATGTGGCTCATCCTGGAAAACAACAGCAGATTCTTCAATAAAATAGAATATTTTAAAGAATATTTATTTTCTGACACTAAGTATTTCTGTGACTACATGGAATTGAATTTCAGACAGAGGAATAAAATGTATTATAAGATATAATCACATAAATTAAGTTTAATTAATTTGATTAAGATTTTATTCTAATTATTTTAAGATGAGAATTTAACATTTATTGTTTGCTTTTACATATTTGGTTAAAAAATTACAGTCTAGATCCAAATAGTTACTTCTTTTATACTTGTGCCACCACACAATTGTGAGAATTCTTGTGACTCAAATGATTAGAATTTTGTATAATTTTTTTAGCTTCAAGCATTATTCATATTTTAAATTTTAATTTGTTCTCTATGGACCTTTAAATTGACAATGATTATATTCACTTATGGGGTAGAAAAATTATGCTATGACTTATGAATATAATGTGAAATAATTATATCAAGCTTTGGTATCATTTTAATTACCTCAAATACCTAACATTTTTATCTGGTGAGAACATCTGGAATTACCCTCTTAGCAAGTTTGAAGAGTATAATCCTCTGTTATTAACTGTATTCACCATACTGTGTAATAGTGTTGGCTTTTTTTTTTTTTTTTTTTTTTTTTTTTAGTATTGGAAATTTAACCCAGGAGCACTTTACTACTGAGCTACATACCCAGCTCTTTTTGTTTTTTATTTTTGAGACAGGGTTTCAGTAAGTTACTTAGGGCCTTGCTAAATTGCTGAGGCTTGCCTTGAACTTTCAGTCCTCCTGTCTCAGCCTCCCTGTGAACAACAGTGTTTTACTTAACTTTTCATAGTAGTTAAAAATTAAAAGTTAATATTTTATGATAAATAAATTTCATAAGATAATTTTATCCCTAAAATTAAATAAATTTTTAGACAGGGATGTATATTACAACTGTTACCTTTATGCCCATAGCAGAATGGCATGCTAGTGAATACTTATAAGCTTCTTGGATGATGGTTGATAAGATTGTCTTGAACTTACCTGGCATGCATCCACTCCACCTGCAGGTATTCCAGCACACAGCATTCCAGATAAGACAGCGCCATTGTAATTAGTTGATGCATTACATACATTGCTACTTATTATTGTGACTTGTCCTTGTCGTAGATCTGTGACTGTGCTGCCTATTTAGTAGAAAAGAAGAAATAAAATGACTCATTGGATATATAAATTAATAACTCTTATTACTAATTAATAAATAAAGTATAAAAATTAATAACTCTTATTACTAAGAGTCATTACTCTTCTCTCATTATTAAGAGAAAGAACAAATGCACTCGAAACATTATTCCCTGTTTAGCAAGAAAGGCATCTAAGCTCATATATAGGAGTTTCTTTCCAGCAAAGGTTTTCATAGGGAAGGATAACCCCTTTAGCCAGATAAATTTTTCTTTTCTTTTCTTTCTTTTTTTTTGCATTAGTTTTGTGATTGAGTGTCCCTTAGTCATTTAGAAAACAAATAAATTTACTATCTTAAAATTGATTGCACTTAAATTATCCACTGATGGACTTTGGAAAATTACATGAAAAGTGAGTAACCTCTAATCTAACATCAAAAGAGAAATCAGTGTGGTCTTAAGCCTAAAGAAGTAATCCATTATATAACAATGCTCCCTCAGAATAGCTTAGATATATTTTTCCATTACTGGACAAATTTTACCTGTTAGTCCAAATTACTTTGTGATAAAAGAACACATTGAAATATTTTCTGGGATGACTGACTTTTTATTATATCTTGGCAATACAATCTACAACTGGGTAAAAGCCCAGGGAAAAACTGTTGATGCTACCCTTCCATTCCCTGGCTGATAACTCTTTATTTTTTTCCTATGTTCTATTTTCTCTTTAACTCTGTCCTCATTTTAATTTATACCTTATTTATTTGACAATCATGTATGAGCAATATTCATGCATACATGGAGTTTCTTACCATGTAGCATAATTCATATCATCCCAGAATACCTTAAAGGGCAGTTGATACTTTAAGGGTTATTAAAGTCTTTAGACAATATCTATTCCAGTCCTTTTATTTTGTTATAGAAAAGCCATTGGAGTTCCACAGACTCTCTGGATTGTTTAAGAACTAATGTTTCTTTATCACTTTCTTTTACATTTCCTTACCACTATGTTTGAGAATTCTGCATAATTCCTATGGGTATAGCTTTTCTATTCTTTACTGAGGAAACTAAGCTGGCCAGAGTTAAGATGTCTAAATACACAATGGTTCTGTTGGGAGAATCTGTACTCAACATTTCCCTAACTTTAAAAAGTTACATAATAGCAAATGACAAGAGATTTTGTTGTTCAGTTGTATTATTTTTCCTGAAACACTTACCGCCATAAGTTATCGATCCCCATCCTGTTACATAGGCAGTAGAACCAGGTATAATGTTATGGGTAGCCTCTGGGAGACAAACACTATGTATATTTCTGGTAAAGGTGATAGCTCTTTCAAGTTGCACTGCTGCAATATCATTTTCATGAGTTGCGGTTTTATAGTTATTATGAAGTAAAATAGTTCTTACTCTTACTTTCAGTATAGGAGATGTTGTAGAAATACCAAAGGTAGCAGTCCACTGTTGAGGATTAGAGTAGCTGAAAAATTGGGAAACCATGCTATTTGAATAAGAAAATTGTGAGTACTTCAAATATTTAGATTTTGAATTTGCCAACAGCTACCATCTAGGAACTATTTGATCAATGTCTCTTTGCTATATATTCTTGCATTGTAAGCTAGTAAATGCTTTTAACTGGCAGAACAAATGGATATTTGCCTAAAGAAACAAAGAAAGCCTTTAGAAAACATGTCTTGAAGTGATGAATACCTGTTGTTATTCTATTCCAATTAGCATATTCTAATACTTTAATGATATCTAGCATAACACAAATCTCTTTGATCTTTCCCTTTTCTGTACCCTTTAATTCAAGCAACTAAGAAATCTGAAGTAATAGCTATTATAGCTTTAACTCATTCCTTTCAATCTTTATTTTCTTCTTTTCTTTTGCTTTGAGAAAGACACTCAGTTTAAATAGCAGTGATGATAAGGAATATCCTTGTTTTGTTAATAGATTAATGACCTTTCTGTACTAAGTTTGCTGATTGTTATACTTGTGTGTGTATATACATACATTTGTGTATATAGATATATGTGTGTATGTCTACAAATATATTGAGGAAGAGGGGAGGAGAAAGAGGACTAACATAAAAAATATAGAAAATTATCATTTTGATCCAAGAATGAGACTTTTTAGGTAAACCCTCAAAACACATTCCATAGGTAAAAAATGAGTGAATTTTATTAAATCAGAATTAAGCAAACCACAAACAAGCTTAAAGTATGGTTACAAAATCCTTAAAAAATATTGGCAACATTTAATATCTACATTTTTATAGAATATACAAAAAAGTATGTAAACCAACAATAAATGGATAGTAAAACTATTATAAAATTTGCAAATTATTAATTGGTAATTTATGTAAAGGGAAGCCCAAATGGCTTCTAGGTATATGAAAAATATTCAAATTTATTAGTAATGAAGAAATAGTAATTAAAAAATGGATATCTTAATATATGTTGATAAGGGTGACAAGAAACAAGAAGATAATGCTGATGTTAGTAAGGAGGGAAATTAGAACTCTTTTTGAATTATTAGTGAAGATGTAAATGTTTGGAAAGCATTATGGTATATTTCTCAGACTCATATGTAATTCTGGGTACATATCTCAGAGAAATCTGTAAAGGTTTATAGAATGACCCCATATGAGTGTTTTGTGCATGTTGTACATGCTCTTTGTGATAGTAGGAAGTTGAAGCAACCTAGTTGGGTGAAGGAACTATGATGCTTGTTTACTGTGGGTTGATATGCAGCAGTGGACCAGATGAAAATTACCAGGATTGAGAAAATACAGTAAGAAACAATATAAGAATTATTCACAATGCTCCTTTCATAAATTAAAAGCAAACACATACATAACAACTCTAGATTTTTCAGTTACATGCATATCTGGATAACAAGCAAAATTATGGTTGCTCCTATAGTTGAATAAAAACAACCAATAATAATTTAAGAGTTTTTGGAATTTAGATAGTGGAATTAACACAAAATAAGGATTATATGTCTAGGAAGTACTTTTACAAGAAATAGTATATGTGTAAGAGTGAAAACTAGTTAAAGATTCTGAAGAAAAAATATTTAAAAATAAGAAAATCCACATTTTTAAAAAATATTCAACTGCTTTTGCTCAGTGTCCTCAGTAGGGAGATTCAAAAGACACCCTTCCCTTTCTGGGGAGACACCCCTTTCATTCTTTTTCACTCTTTTTCCTCCCTCTGTCTCTCCTTCCCTTCCTTCTAGCAAATAAATAAGAAAATGGTTTTGGAACCAGCTATATTTAGATTTAAATCTTGCTATATCACATACTAGAATTATTGTTTATGGCAAGTTAGTTAATATCTCTGATTCTTAGTTTATGTATAAAATTTGATTGGCAATATTCTCTCACACAGCTTTAAGTATCAATGAAACAAATGAATATGCTAAACACTGCTTGGCATTCAATGGACACATCTGTGATCTTCAATAATTATAGCTCAACAAGCCATTGCTAAGTATCTACATTGCATAAAGAACATGTGAGTCTCTGGAAATAAAAAATTTAATAATTATTGCCTCTGTGCTTGAGTACTGCCACACACTAGTGGAGGATACTGAGACAATTATACTATCATAAATCACAAAGACTACTGTAAAAGACAGAGAAGAAATTTTCTGTGTAAATAGAACAGGAGACAAGAGAGTCCAGAGAAATCTTCATAGAAAAGGTGACAATTCAGTAATCTTCTCTAATAGGGACTCATCACTTGTATGTCCTTTTGTAAGGCTAGTTATACTCCAAACAAATCATCACTGGTGTTTCTCAAGTGACAATGAAATCTTTAGGGAGGGGACCAATACATGGTTCTTGTCATTTATAGCTCTAGTGATTACATCAAGGTAGTAAACAGAAAGATTTTTGGTTTCAAAATTCAAAGATTTTCTCTGAATGTTTTTGATAATCATTGATGATATTTATAATTGTGGCTTTCAATATAGTGATATCCTTTACTTAACTTTTGATAGGTCTGAATAGGGCTTAGAATCTAGTTCAGTTCCAACCTGCTAATTCCATGCATTTGTACATTAGGGTGTGATTGAAATGAACTAGTGACATTCTTTTGCTTTGGCCTTTCAGGTGGCAATGATGATTTAATGTTTTTTAGAATTTTGTTTCTTGTGTTATCTGGGATACAGCTAAATGAATTTGCCAATTTAAATCAGAAATTGTGTAATGTTGGAAGTATTATATTAAAAAAAATTTAGAATTTATTTGCCATCTGTAGAGCTACAAGATAGCATAAGAAAAGTGTAGAATAATTTGGGCTTTCCCAAAACTTTTGTTTAGATTGTACCCTAATCTTGTTAACTTTTATTTCATCTTGGTTTAATGAACACTTTTGAAAAAAAGGTGCTGTATTAAAAGATAGTGCCCTCAAATCTGAATAATGTTTCTTAGAAATTGTGAAAATCTCACAGAATTCAAATAGGATGAAATAGAGATTTTAAAAGGTTTTAATATTTCAGGAAACAAACAGCAGGGTGAGCAGTGGTCATAGGTGGGGAAATACAGACCAAGTCCAGAAGAGATGAAACATGGCTGTTATACTGACGCTGAAATCACATACTTCGAGAAATAATTTTGGATTAATTTGACATTGAAGGCTTTGGATATGTAGTAAATATGTGGATTTGAGACAGTGACAAGTCATTGAAAAAAGCTGGTAAGATAATAGATATGGTCAGGGGCACACTTGAGTTCACCATCACTTTCTGGTGATCTTTCTGTATTTAAATGTTGTGATTTAGGATATCTTGGTGATATGGTAGGCCTGAAACTAGCAAGTTTTTGTAATGCCAAAGTCTAAAACCTTTCAGTAGTAGCAATGTAACCTTTTTAATATCAACAGGATAATTTTATACAACTTATTTTCCATTGGAAGCTCATTGCCTTAGTATAAGTAATAAATAGTCTTTAGTCACCTCAATTAAGAATTCTTGTAAGGTGTCTTAAATTTATTTTACTTATACTACTTATACTTATTTATAAATGATAGTAATTTTTGTGTGTATGTATTCTCCTTCAAACATTAGAATGAAGTTCCATGAAGGCAAGGGTAGTATTTCATTTATACTTGTGCATATATAACATATAATATTAGGCTTGTCATAAATATCCATATATTTTGATGAACAAATTAATGGCATCTAGCAGTCTCTAGGTCTACCCTCAGTATACTGATAAGCTTCCATGATGTAATGTACAAATCTTCTTCCACAAATATTTAATAGATAGTTATAGTAACATATTTAATCCTACCAACAACACTAAGATATACATAATAGTATTGTCCATAATTTTTTAAAAATGTGATACATAGGGTTGTTTAGTAAATTTTCTAAGTTTTCATAGCTAGAATTTAAATTAAACATTCTGATATGTTAATCTTTGTTCTTTTCAATGATGGGTACACTATTATCTAAAACTGAGAACTATAGTAAGCTAAATGAGAAAAAAAGTATTTTGGCTTTAATAAACAGGAAGAAAAAACTCACTAATATTCTTTACATTTTTTGTTCTGGATTTATCCAATCATGATTGGTCCTGAGGGTAATGGGTGGAGTCTTCATGCAACTGTCTACCTTAATTGTTCCCAGAGCGGTTGAGAGAGGTGCCCTTACCTTCTGAAGCAGTGAGCTGCTGACAGGATCCATGTGTTACTGATCAGGGTGCCTCCACAGTGGTGGACATTATTGAGTTGAAGACTGACTTGCCATGGCCAGTCACCTTCCTCAGCTAGTGTACCTCCAATGATTCTTTCTTCAGACAGTGTTATTAGGTCTGGCCGGGCTCCACATTCTAAGAACAAAGGTTATTAATGAGCTGGGAAGAACATGGTACATTTACATTTGGGATTTTGCTGCAGAGCTTTTCCATTACTTATGACTTTGTCTTTTATGGATTTCTCCCCAGGATATGCTAGATTTGCAAAAAGCAGGATCAACATGTTATTGTCTTTAGAGTACATGTATGACTATTCTTGCCTATTGATTACATTCTAGAGAACATTTCTGAACTTAATTGACATTGGGTTTCAAATTCTGGAGCAACTTCAAAATTGTCTAGAATGCTTCCTGAATGGTAAGGGTTAGGATTGGTCAGTGATGGATATGACAACTTAGGATAAAACTCCTGGGAAATTCCCTTCTTCTTCATAAATTGCTATGCATAGTGTGGTTTTCAGACCTTTAGCATGAATATCCCCTAGGAACTTGTTAGAAATACTGACTTCTAGATCCACATCAGGGAACAATTCAGAAGGTACCTATTGATGAGAGATACACATTTAGGTTGGAAGAAAACTGACTCATCAAGCAGCTTTCTTAGTGGTATTGCAGTTTTATCATTGGAGGTTGCAGTACATCTCCAGATCTCATGTATAACTGTATGTACCCTTGAAAGGGCACATGCTGTAGGGCCACAGAATAGGCCTTAGGGTGAGTGAACATTTCTAGTATGTAGTATACAGGTTTATTTAAATGTCTTAAAAAGCCCTCAAATGCTCTCATTGCCAGAGCTGAAATGGGCTAGGGTAGGCTATTCACAGAATCCCTCTCAATTTCTGTGCTTTATTTTCTCTTATTAATCTATTACCAAGCAATTAGAGATAAACCGACACCTATTTCTATATTGCTAGACTGGCTGTTAAGTAGTACCCTGCTTCAATAGGTATTTTTTTCTTGCAAATTTCCCAAATAGAGGACTAGATTTCCATTAAGAATATGTATGGAACTTAGGTTCCTGTGCTGCATCCTTCAAATAAATTCCCTAGTGAATTATGAAGATACATTTTTATTCAGAATAATCAAGAACTAAATGTATAGTGAAGTTTAAAAATACCTAGAGAGGTGGTATCACTTTGTAAAATTTGTTAAGTATCTGAGAAAGACCAGTGATCCAGGTACATTTAACTGATTTCTAGCTACATTCTGTAAGCAAAAGAAATAAACAGTATTTTTCTAGGAATTATATCTCTGCTATCCTAGCTTGAAAGTATGGAGGATGGTGTTGGAACATATGAATTTCCCTTCAGAAGGTTAACGACCCAAAACTGACAAGATTTTTCATAATTCTTTCTGTTATGGCTATGATTGACCTGAACCCATAACGGAGCAAGCTATCTGGTAGTTAGGAAAAGCTACATAAATGATGTCATCAAACATAATTTGCAAGTCTGCAGAAATGCCACCAAAGAATTGGGTAGTAAAAGCTTCCCAAAACTGCCAAGAAAATTTTCATAAGGTCAACCTGAGTACTGAGTGGTGGTACTCCACTGCTACTTCATTAATTTTTTTCCTAAAAGAAAAAACAGCTCAAACATCACTCCATGGATCAGTTGGATCAGCAGTGTCTTGTTTCAACAAAAAACCAATGGAATGAATTCAAAATAAAGGTACCACCTGTATAGATACCATCTTGGCAAAGAGCATAACAGATTTGCATTTTTACTCCTTATATTTTAGCAAAACATTTTATAAAATAATTTCAAAGCTTACCTTGAGTGAAAAAATTTTCTGTATCATGGTCAGTAATAGCTAGTGTTAAAAAAAAAAGAATGAGACTAAGATCAACAAAATACAAGATAAAAATAATTTCCATCTTAATTTCTTAAAGTGTATATACAGACAAAAAAATCAGAACCACTGGGAGTATTTGCTGAAATTCTGATTCCTAGGCTCCATCCTCATCAGCTGAAAGAATCTCTGAGTCATGGGCCCTAGAAATCTGTTTTTACAACTTTCCTGAATTTATTAAGCACACTAACGTTTGTGTTAAAATGTTTTATCAAATACTTCATATTTCCTTGCTCTCAAGTCTCTCATTTTAGCTGGCAAATCAGAACATAACTAAGTCATTGGAATATAATATAACAAATGTTGTAGTAGAAGTTCATTTATTCAAATATTCTTATAAGGACATATTGGTATATACATATATTGCTCAACTGATACTATTCTAAGTGCTGCAGATTAAACAGTGAACAAATTACAGGTGTCTGCTCACATGTTATTTACATACAGAAATTAATCAAATAATTATTCAAATGAATTCAAAAACCAAAGGAAAAGGAGAAAATAGAGATTAACTAATGTTACCAAATAAACACAAAAGTTGTCATGGAGGAGGAAATGACATTTGAGTTGGAGGAAATAACATTTGTACAGTATTTTGAAAACCTAGAAGGGATTTGTCAAGCAAATAAGTGAGAGAAGATACTCCACATGGAAGGCATAGTGGGCATAATTGCATGAAGGTGTAGGATGTTTGTGGTGTAATAAAGTCAGCAGAGTTATTACATGTGTTGCATGCAGGGGGATGGTGGGAGAGCTGGGAAAGGAAACTATAATGGTATCATATAGTGAAGGTCCCTACATAAACTACAGTATTGTTTCCCCTACATGTCCAGTGGTCATCTCAAACTTAATGTGACCAAATTTTATCCAAAATTTGCTTCTTTAGTAAATGACACCACTTCCAATGGCAACTAGAAAATATCTCAAATTCTCACTTTCTCATCATACTCACATTTTATTGGTCTCCATGTTCTGCACCTTCTAATAGCTGCCATTTGAATTATCCTGAGTCTCCTTATCACCTCTCCTTTTAAAAAATTTTTGGTGGCATTAGAGATTGAACCTAGGGGTACTCAGAGGCACTGAAATACATCCCATGTTTTTATTTTTTATTTTGAGACAGGTATAAGTTGCCCAGGTTGACCAACTTGTGATTCTCCTGTCTTAGCCTTTTGAGTAGCTTTCCTATCTTTTTGGTACTACTTTTGTTCATGCTTTCATCATTTGATACTAGTAACCTTCAAACTGAAATTCTCCACTACCACTTTTGTGCTTTTTCAATTTATCCACCTGTCCAGACTGACCATTTCTAAAAATGTATGTCAGATCAAATCCCCCCATACTTTCAAAGTTCTAAAACTGAATTTTCATGTTCTCCAAAACCAAGCTATGCAGTTATTTCCATCTAGAAGTGTTATGGGATTTAGGTATCATGTTTGCTTTGAAAGCTTCAGTGGAGCCACAGCATCCTTTTTGGAAACAGGAAATAAATAAAGCTGTGTATTCTTCATTATTTGAATAACAGTGACTTGGGTTTTAACCCTGACTGCCACATGCTAAACATATGACCCTGAGCAATTATACATCCTTTCTAAGTGGGGATAGTATAAGAGTCTATGGGATATGGAATGTTGTGTGGATTAAATTAAGGAAATGCTATTTAATATTTCAAAGCCAAATTCCATCCATTCTTCTTGATGAATCACTTGCTGAGAGATACCAAGAACTCTAGTCTCATTGTTTCCTGAATTTTGGCAGTAGTCACTGTTGTTTGGTCATTGGGTGCTTGGTCATATGTTCTCTTGATTATCAAGTCTGCTATTTTGACTGCTATCTTGCATTGGGATGTCTTTTGCTTCAACTGTATTATGGGGTCTTGGGGGATGGAAATAACCATTGTATCCTCACATTATGTAACATAATGCTAAACAATGAACAAACATTGGGAAGTGCTTTTGAAAGAATTTCTTCATGTGTCAGAACAGAAGTAATATTCAGTTGCTTAAGTAACCGTGGTGCTTGGGCATCAGTAGGCAGAACACAGACCATAGAGTTGGAGCTGTGCCTTTGAATTCTTTCCTATGTGGTTAACTCTTTAGTTGCAGGCAGAAGAGAAGAGAGTCCATAGTGGGGAATGGAGACATTTGGAGAACTTGGGAAAAAATCACTGTCTAATTGTTTACTAACAAACAGGAAAGCATTCTAATACTTTAACAACTAGTACTGCTGTAGCAGGTGCATACTAGCCCAGTGTGAGATCCATGAAAATCCTTTTAATTTTGAGTTCCTTATGAGGAAATCATGGCTACTTAAGCTAGTAGTAAAAGGCAAAGTTGGTGGGTTATCCTTTATTAAGTAATTCATTTCTTTCAGTCATTCAACAATTGGTTATTGAATAACTGTTCTATACTAGATACTGGGTGGTAGAAGGACAGAAAAAGTGAACAAAGCAGAACAGTTCTTGCCTTTAGGAAATTTAAGGAATAGAATGGATCCAAACAAAAATCATACAAATGGTTACATAAATTAATATATCCATTGTGAAAGACAGCCTAGAGGTGGCTCAGAATCTTAGAAATAGAACTACCTACTGTGTGATTCAGCTATCCCACTACTGGGTATATATCCAAAGAAAATAAAATCAGTTGTTAAAGTGACATCTGAAAATCATGTTTACTGAAGCACTGTTCACTATAGCAAAGATGGGGAATCAATGTAGGTATATATCAACAGATGAATGTGAAAAAGTGTGGTATATAAACACAGTAGAATATTATTCACCCATAAAAATGAAATTCTGTCATTTGTAGCAGTATGGACAGAACCAAAGGATGTTATTTTAAGTGAAATTAAGTCAGGCACAGAAAGATACTGCATATTCTCACTTATTTGTGGAAGTTCAAAAGTTGACTTCAAAAGAATAATGATTACCAGGTCCTAGAAAGGATGTTGGGGAGAGAGAGAGAGATAGAGAAATTATAGACAATGAGTTCAGGGATGGAGCTGGATAACAGAAATAATTTCTAAAGTTCTGTAGCATTGTAGGACAACTATGTTGACAATTGAATATTTCAAAATAGTTAATAGGATTTTAAATGTCCCTAATACAAAGAAATATCATGTCTGAGGTGATAGATATGCCAGTTACCCTGATATAATCATTGTACATTGTATGCATATACTAAAATGCCAATGTACCTCGTACGTATGTGTAATTACTGTGTGTCAATTAAAAATAAAAATACATTTTTTTAAAATCAGGGATTGAACTCAGAGGCACTTGACCACTGAGCCACATCCTCAGCTCTATTTTGTATTTTATTTAGAGACAGGATCTCACTGAGTTGCTTAGTGCCTCACTTTGGCTTTGAACTTGTGATCCTCCTGCCTCAGTCTCCCAAGCCACTGGGATTAACAATGCATTTTTTTAAAAAGAAGAATTATCACAATTTCCTTATGTAGCCCTGAAACTTCAGGACAGGCTTCCATTTTACAAAGTAGAAAACTGAAACTGAAAATCTTAGATTCTTAACTTTAAAATTAGTTGCTGTTCAAACATTGCCTTAAAGGATCAACCTAAGTAATTTCAACAAGATAGTGAATTTATATAATACCAAGTTTGCTTTCTTACCTCATTTTATTATATATAAGTCTCAAACAGAATGGAAAAAGGCATGTTGGAACAAATTAAAATATACTGCCCTCATGTGAACACTAGAAATGAGATCTCCCATGTTAAAATTATTCCATTTAAAAAGAAAACAGTATGTTTTAAGATAAAAAAATCATTGAAAAGTAAAAAAAAATAGAATGTTTATATTAGAAAGGTATATACTATATATATTTAGCTTTTAATATATTGTTTTTATAAAGTTAATAATTTTAAAGAAAGAAAAGCCAGCCTCTGCTTTAATTAGAGATTTAAATTTGAATTAGTAAACTTCAGAGATATATTGAAATAAAATGGTATACAAAAAAAATGGTACTTGCATGTTATCCCAGTTGAAGGATTTATTTCCAAGTTTCCAGAGTTATTCTGCATTTGTTGTAAAATAGCCTGAACTCTGCCTTTCATTGATCCTCCATTGTTACCTCTAGTGCATCGAAATTTCATGACAACATCTGCTATCACACCACCACTACCATTTGGCCTGTAAACCATAAAGATATTTTTAAATGGATAATTATTATATTTATACTGCTTATATAGTCTTCTCGATTGAGCTTTTTTAAATAATTCACTTGAGGAATTTGCCTTTAGAACAGTTACATAATGGTATTTGAATAAGTAATAATAGATCAAAATTCTGTTCCCCAAAATTCAATTTCAATGCACAGTACACTATACTCACCACATAGTATAGCAGGCTTTGAAGTTGGAATGTCATAGCCTTTTACTGTGTGATTTTTGCTAAGTTACTTAAGTTTCTTAAGCTTTCTGTATCTATGACTTCTCATACATAAAACAGTTATGCACAAAGTTTGGGGAAAAGTACATACCATATCCTAAGTGCACTGTAATGTTAGCTATTATTAGACTTTAGCAATCTGAAAAAAACCCTCATCTCCTTAAGCAAATATCTGCTTAAACAAACTTACAAACAGGAGATTTCAAGATTATGTGACACAGAAGTTGAATTTAACTTTTTTGGAATTTAGACCTATTCATCTGATTATAGCATCAAATTTTAACTTTTATAGTCATATGTTAAGATTTTATAGCCCATTTCAATTAGCCACAGATACTTCATTCCTAGAAATGAAACTTGATATCTTTGTTAAAGGTTCTGATTATCTAAAACCTAGATAAATTGCACATTATGTTAGTTACCATATTAATTACCACATAAACTATTACCTCCACTTGACTTTGTCGAAATTTCTACCTCAAACAAGAGTGTATAGGAGACACTATTGTTCCATAGCCTCATTAATATTTGATATAATCAGGCTATAATTTAATTCTTACAGTTAAATGAGTTAAAATGATATTCTTTAGTTTTACTTTTATAGTAGTAAATCACATAGGTTCTAGAATCAAAACTGGCTAAATTCAAATCCCAATGCTAATTTCCATTAGCTCTGGAATCACTAGCAAGTTACTTAATTTCTTCATGCCTCAGTTTCCTCTGATAATCAAAGTGCTTCTTTGGTAGAGTCATAATGAAGATCAAATAAATTAATTGATACAAAGCAGTCTTTTTTGAATATTTATTTATAACTTTCATCATTCATTAAAGATCCCTCATCCTTGAGTCACAAATTCATATTTTTTTCTATTGTTTCTTGGTCTTTTTCTTATTTATTTAATTATTAGTATAGATACCAATAATTTGTCCACTTTCTTGGTTGCAGACATATTCTCCTTGTATATAACGTATCTTTACACTTTCTTCTCTTTTCTTTTCCCTCTCT